CTGCAGCTATTCCCTAATACAAAGAAGCTTTAAAGTTAGCATTATCCATTTTCTGGCATAACCTAAAGCAGCAATAAATTTAATTGCCCCTATGGGTGTTGGCAGAGAACTGGACCAAACATTAGTACACAACTATCTCATAAATCTTCTAATTTATTACTAAACTGGTATATACCAGCACAGGAGAAGAATGACTACAACCTCCTCCACATGTAATAATAAATCTCTTCCCCTTGCAGCAAACCTAAGAAATAACTATTTTGTCTCAAAAGGCAAGTCAGCCTGCTTGTGATATATCCTGCCAAATTTCTCTATAGAAATTCCTGCTATATCTAAAACATAAGGTCTACTTCTGAAGCATTAAATAGGTATGACTGAGGCAACTATACATTATTATTTAAAATGAATAAAGAAGCCAGATAGCCTCTTCCATCAAAAACAGAATAAGAAACTTATCAGCAAATCTGCAACTGCAGAGATAAAAGATTAGTCTGAGAATCTCAACTCTCCTGCTAACCTTGCTGACCATTTACTGACTGAAATTGTTTTTTATTCATGCTGCATGGATGGGTTGGTTTTGCAGGTTAAAGGGATTATCCAGCAAGGTCACCAACCATGAAGTATGACTAGCTTGTTTTTCAGTACCTGTGTCTCATGTCTAACAGAGTGGGATTACAAGAACCTCTTGCAATCACAGAGAAGGCAGTACGGTGAAACATAACAGAAGCGCTCTCTATCTTGCTGTTGTTTATGGCTCATGTTCATAAGTAACTTAGTTCCCAGGGCTAACTGACTAGCAATAGAGTATTTAACACCAATAAACTATTGCAATTATGAGTAGTTAGGACCCTAGGCTGGAAGCAGCTAAAATTGAAAACCTATCCAGTAACAGAAATGTAGTTGTATCGCAGCTCGTTGGCAGAAAGATGTTCTCGAGACTGGATGCGAATCCAGTGTTGCTGTTACCCTGGTAAACATGTGGTAAAACATGCTAAACATACCATTTTCTTACGTAGTAGTGACGCAGAAAGCAGGGGAAATCTGTGGAGATGAAATGAAATCAAGAACTTAAAGAGGGTTCTGCTGTGGATCTAGCCACTGCTTAAAGGAACTTCTCTACTCCTACGCATGACCACAGTCCCTAACACTTCGATAAAGACTCATCCAGTCTTGACTCATCCAGCAAGTCTTGTTCCTCTTCTCTCAACTCTTGCTTCCTCTTCTGTTTCATTTTCTCTGATTAACAGACAAAAGAAAGAGAATTTAAGCCCTCTTCTTTCCTCTTCTCTGTCTTCTCTGTTTTCCCCAATTTTGAATCAGACATGCCCAGTAGTTTCTTTCCTTAAAATCTATCTGTGGTGCTCCTCTTAAGCTGTATCTCTGATGTAACATGCGTTTCCCATTCAACCCTTATTCTCAGCACTGATCCAGGCAATCTACTGCATTAAAGAAATTAGAAATAGAGGTAAGATCTGAAAGTTCATTCGAACAGGCTGGAGTGACTCAATTTCCTCCTGTACACACATAGGAAGCTGACCTAAAATTTAAGACGTAGGTTAGAGAGTTCAACAATATTTTGGAAGAGAAGTATGTGAAGATGAAAGGTTAACAGACGCTGAACAGTTTCAATGTGCAGCCTTCAAGGAACATCTCAAGGACAAAGCGACAGAGAAGTCAGCACCATCAATTCAGAAGTTCTAACATCAGCCAAAGGTGCTCTCCCAAGTTCACAAGAGAATTTTCTATGCAATACCTTTGCAGGTTTTTTGAAATCACTGTACATCCAAAGAGCTCAACTGAACAGGTAAGAGAGAGTGCGCTAGGCTCTTGATCTCATAGCCTGCTTTGGCTCTGTCTGGAGCGCTGGCTGTCACATAGCGGCTATTTGGGAAACCTAATCTCTTTGTGTGTCTTCTACGTTATTATTTGGTGGTCCAAGCTTTGTGGATCACTTCAGGCACTGAGGACCGAGCATAAGGCATTCCCCTGCTTTATCCAAAGGCTGTGGATATAGTTTCATGGTCACTTTAAGCCACTGAAAGCATAGGCTTCTGACACTCAGGTGGTTCCCACCCTACCCCCCTGTATGTTTCTGCAGATCCAGCTGATCGTTTTGTCATCCAAACACCACTGCTAACATGTCATGCAGCAGCCTGTTCTTAAGTGGGATTAAATTGATGCTGGAACCACACCTGGTGAGTGCCATTATTCACGAGTGCCATTATTCACGTAGCTGCTTTCCTCCAATGCTCTGTCTGCCAGAGCTTTGGCAATTATATGTTTTTCTTAGCCCCAGCCCACAAGTGTACACAGCTGCCGAGATGGGCTTCTCTCCTGTTCTGAATCTTGGTCTAGATGAGCTCATAACTGCTCCTCCAAAACTTCCAGAGCTTATCCTGAGGATATCTCGCAGACTGCTGTCCCCATGTTCTTGCTCATGCTGAGAAACCTTTCTGGTATTCTCTCTCACTTTTAGAACCCTTTGTTTTTCAAATCTTCATATTTATTTACTCCCAATAGTTCTGCTTTCATATCTTGTTCTTTCTAACGACTGTACTTAACAGCAGGAGAGAAGCCTCTCAAAGGGAACCATCCAGGAGTAATACTAGTCCGATCCCTCCCCAGAAAACTGTTATTTTGTTGCCGCTCCCAAAACCTCCTACATTCTCCATTCTTTGCTCTTTGAGCACTGACATCTCTCACTGTGATCTAGAACTCTAGCTGAAAGATAAACTGGGCTACCTTTTCTTTCTGTTTCCTTTTTCAACAAGAGCCCTGAGAAATGAATCACAATTACCGCTTTCAGTGAGCTATCTTATAGCAACACTATGGTTTGGAGTCTGTCCCTGCAGTTCAGACATATTCCTCAAGCGTCACTGGTCTCTGCCTCTTTCGTTTAACAGCAGGAACTCTAAATCTCTTTCAGTCTTACAGTGAAGTCTCTTGTTAGCTCTACTAATTGTGCACTAAAAGTCCTCAGAATCCTCCGCTTAATTGCATATTCCTTCACTTACTTGCTTAGTGGCAAAATCCAGTAACTTTTAACAGTTGTACAGCTTAGGAAATCACTGCCCATCTGAACTTTAAGATGACCAAGCTGTGGGCAGTTGTAGTCCTGCCAGGAAGGTTTGTCCTACAAGTCCACGGATAGTTGATCTCTGACAGCTCAGTAGCCCTCAGGCACTTCTTTCTGCATGAACAGCAAGTAGCGTTTGGTTTGACGTATGTGATTACTATCTCTGCATGAAGCAAAAAAGGCTTGTGTCTTCCTGTAAGTGGGTTGAGAAAACGCCCAACTGTTCTCGGGCAAATAATAATACCAATGGCTCTTTCTCGTGTTGGAAGTATATGCCACACTATGGATGCATGAAACGGCAAAGATAGCGGGGAAAACCCACAAAAATAAGAGATGATAAGGTAAAATTTATTTTAAATAGTCTATTTCCATAAATAGTGAAAAAGTATAACCTATTTCTGAGTAATATAATCAGGGAATTTCCAAAACCTGCTAAAACTGTTGCTGCCTAGTGCTGTAATTACGCTGTTTACAATAGAAAAAATTGTACCTACTGTCAGTGTGGAATTTAATAATATACAGTGGAAAAGGAATTAGTTTTAAGATCAGAAGGACATCTTATTAAAGCTTATAAAACTTGTTTTACAGTAAAGTTGCTAGGGAAGCAAATTTTTCTAGCCTGCCCCAGGAATATTAGGCAGGTATATAAATTTAACCACTTAAATTCCTCTACACATTTGCACATGAAACATGTATTTTAAAATGGAGCAAACAGAAAGGCTTATGTAGCACTTATGTCTTGGATGTAGCACTCCAATGCTGTTCTAAAGACGCTTTGACAGATGCTTTGCAGATAAGAAGTTTGTCTGAAAATGTTTTGCACTTAAAGTCAATAAACAGGAAAAACACACTTGAAGGTCCTTAACTGATGCTATATGCTTTGCATGCAAATATGCTTTATAAATATTTTACACATGCGTACAACACAGTTAAGAATTGCCAATTAAAACTAGATTATTGATTTCAAACTTCGGGAGAATTAGAGAAGACTCTCGCTTTCTAAGAGGCAATTTATCAGCTGTTATTTTGTTCTATTGAGACTATTTGTAAGGTGAGAACAGAGTTCATTAGCAAAATATGCATATATTCTGCATGCTCTCACCATATACTTGTGTGCAAACACAAACCTGTGTGCAAGCCCAAACAACTTAGCAATCCACTGTTTGCCTTTTCTCTAATTATGAATGCAGCTGTATGTGGCTATGTTCAATAGGTGTCAATAGGTTTATATCTTTCAGAAAACTGTTACTAAATTAATTTTTCAGCTTTTCTTCACTTTTCACAATAGAGTGGTTTAGGTGAAATTCTGTAGCAAAAAGACTGGGAGCTAAAAGCAAAAAGAAATTGATTTTTCATCTGCAGATCCTTATTTTCAACATGCTCTATGAATCTTGAAACTGAAATTTGTTGCTGCCTCATGGCTGTCCTGCAGTTGTCCAGCAGGATGCTAAAAAGGTGGCTCAGATCTCTTCATAAATTATCCACAGCTTACACATGAAATCTCTTCACATTCCAGTATTTTTCTCACTTTCAATTTTAGCTTCATAACATGAGTGAATATTAAACTTGCATAATTTACGAACAGACTGTATCTTGACTATTCCAAAAGGCCAAATCTAGAGGTAAATAATTGGAAAAGCAACGTGGAATGCAGCTTAGTATATGAAAAACTCATTCATAATTACATACAATATGGTTTTAATATCAAAAGGCACAGTTTATTGCTGCCATATATATTGTATGCCAACTTTCAAAAGATTATATACTACATAGGATAACACTGTTTCAAACACAATTCAGTAAATGTCAATTCATAAATCTGGGATATGCCATAATTAACAATAAAGGAAGCAAAGACAATGTGTCTATTTTAAAAATTCCTATTCTTCACTTTCAGTAACCTTCAAAAGAGGAGATCAGGAAAATGCCTAACACGAGCTTAACACAACAGACTTTTTCCTTGAATGAAACACTGCCGGAAGCCTCCAAGAGACTCCACTCCATTCTGATAGTACTGTACAGCATTGACCTGGCTGGCGGCACTCTTGGGGTCATCGTGATGTCCCATCACTTGTTTCAAAGGAGATCGCAGTCTGGGATGACCATTATTGTCATCAACCTCCTGGTGCTGCACACCCTCCTGCTACTCAGCATCCCCTTCCGCCTCAGCTATTACGTTTTACGTGAGTGGAAATTCGGGATGTTTGCCTGCAGGCTAGTGAGCGCCATGATCTATCTCCATATGTACACCACCTTCACTTTTTACATTGCTATCATCATAATACGCCTCTTCCAATTAGAGTTTAAGAAGTGCTACACTACAACTTGGGTGACTTCTGTCTGGCTGGTGGGAGCACTGGTGATCTCACCTGTTTTTCTCTCTTATTACGGCACCTCTAAAACATACAATTCCTCTGAATGCTTTCAGTTCCACCAGGAGATACAGGAGACATCCATGGTGATAGTAAACTATTGCTTTGTTGGAATTTTGGTGGCGGTTTGCACCGTGCTCACCACAGTCCAGTTATCTGTGATCTATAGACTGGCTGTGAAATACTGGCCTGACATCTACTCCCATGTTGAATTCAGGGCTCAAGTAAAGAGTTTCTTCTTTATCTTGGTAACATTAGTGTGCTTTATGCCTCATCATGTTTTCAGAATATATTACATCCAAAACTACAACCTGGATAAAGACCATGAACTAGTCTCATACAATGAAATTTTTTTAGCGTTAACAACAATGTGCTGCTTGGATATGTTGTGCTTCATAGCAGGAATAGCCCATTGAACTGCGAACTACTAGGAAATCCAGCTGTAGCGTGTCAACACTGGCTCTTGGCAGAAATAAAACTGTCAGGACTTTACTGAGGTAGGGACACTGCTGAGTTTTCAGCATGGATATACAGGATTGTAGTTTCTCTGGCTTTTGTAGTCTTGTAAGATATTTCTTTCTGAAGCTACTGGTTCTTATCTTCTCTCTTGAAGATAGACACATCAGTCTTACTGTGTGTAAGTGTCATGCCCTAAAGCTCATTAAGATTTTCCTCAGCTGTCCCTCTCTCTCTAATGATTCTGGCGAAAGTATCCATCCCTTTGTCTTTTTTCCTCAAAGTGGCTCAGTTACAACAACCCACTGCGGCCAATAAATGGTCTACTGTGAAGGTTTAACAATTTCTTCTGACATTTGTGTTACTGACGGGAGGGAGGGAAGAAAGGTGTTTTCCTTTACAGAATTGATACTACTGATTTTAGATAGCAGGCTGGATACAGGGTATAAATGAAATAGTTTAGTAGAAGCCTTCTTTTCTTCACCTCTACAAACTATACGTTAAATGAAATGAAAACATGTAATTCTCACTACTTCACCTTTACTTGCCTCATTTGAAAACAAAAAGCAACAGGCTTGCTGAATTGTGATAGTTAAACATTTAGAGTGAATGAGCGCTGAACAGGCCATGAGTTTCAATACTTCTCTCTTTAGTGATTCTCCCACCAGGACTGGATCTACTGCTGCTAATCCTTTGGCCCGGGGTAGCCTAGAAAAAGGAGGTTCTGTAATCCCCTGCCCATGATAACTGGAGCTGGACTCAGGATTGAGGGATCTGATCCTCCACTGAAGGAACAGCTACCCTTTGTAAGAGGGAAATATTTTATCAGCCTTCAAGAAAAACCTTTGATCAGAAAATCTCTTTGATGTCTGCTCACTTTCAGTTGCTTTGTTGATTTATTATCAGATGCCATATTTTTTCCATTTACAGATATAACAAAGCAAAACAAGAATAAACTAGCTGAACTCTGTTTAATCAGTTCAGCATATGCTCACACATGTGTATACAAATTCGTGCTGGAGTGTATGTTTCCTCCACTAAACAGATTATATTCTTTGTGACCTTGAAAAGTAGAATGAAATAATTGATAGTCTTGCTCCCTCAGGAAGTAGATCTGTTTTGGGAATCTCTGTTTTATCTTTATTTTCAAAGAAAAGTTATTTTCATGATTGAATTCTGCATGTTCTGGTCAGTGAAGACCTCTAATCCTTCTGTCTAAGGCCCCACTGCCACTTTCTGCATTCCAACAGCTTGAGACCAGATTGTTCCCAACCCAGACTCCAAGGAGTCCCACAGGGGTATGCTCCCTCCTCCAGAGCCCCTTTGTTGTCATGATTTGCAGCCTGTCAGTCTTTGCTACAAGAGTGCTACGATACCTGGATTCAAAAAGGCCAAGAGTTGATTTAAGTTGAGAGAGTTAAAAAAGCTACACCTATCAAGGAATGCTAGTGATACCTCAGACTTATGGCATTTCTTTGAACAAAAGACCCTATATCTACTTTGCCAATCATGAATAAACATTTTTGCCTTTAACCATTTGCCTTTTAAAAGAGGGAGGTGTACAGGGGAGCTTCAGCAAGTCCTTTAGGCTCCTAAAAATTCTGGCCTTAGGGCTTGCCCTTGCCTTACCAGGTCCACTGCTGTTCATACAGTACTGTCTTCTCAGTCCATGAGTTTCAAAGGCAGTGGTTAGAGATACAATACCATACAATATAGATACAGTGCAAAAGGCCAAAGTCTAAAATGAGTGAATAATTCCCAAACCAGTGGCATTTTAAATTCCATCTCTGTCCAGGCAGGATACAACATACTTGGCTGGTAGGAGCCTCTAGAGGTGAAAAAGTTTAAACAAAGCTTTGGTACTTCAGAAGTTTTGAGGAAGACAAGGCAAGAGGCAAGGCCTGCAGAGAAGCTATTTGTACCAGAGAGAGCTGGGGTAAGCTGGAGCTACCAAAGTTTTTAGGAAAACTGGTTAAGCTTTGCGTGAGGCAACAAGCACTTTTTTCCCCCTCTGAATACTGGACTCTTGGAACTAAATAAAAAATCTGTTGTTTGAAGAAGTACCCCATGTCACTGCCTTTTCTTACTGACCAGTATTTCCAAGATGACTTCTATGAAGATCGGAGCCACCTGATGCAGCTCGTGAGTTGACTGATAATCTAGCAGTCCAGTATAAAAGGGTGTAAGTTTGGGAGTGGGAAAGGGAACTTACATAACCCAAGGATTTCATCCAAATTCAGCCATGTTTGGAAGGTACTTCCGTGCAAGGTCTCAGAGAGGAGTTACGGGTACAAATCCTCAGCTATGGTAACAGACCGTGTAATTCCTACAAGAATGTGACTTCCCCAGATTTTAGGGACAATTATGAAATTGCTTAGTTCTGATCAGTCAACTACCGTAGCAGATCCCACAGACTTAGATGTGACTCTAACTGCCACTGAACTAAGCATTTATCTTTTCATCTCCTCAAAGGCAGGGCTGTTCTGTGCTCCATATGCTAGTATACTGTTGATCAGGCTATCTACCTACTCCTTAACTGCATATTTTTGAGGAGTTATGTTGCTAACACATTCTTTTATACAAAGTCTGTATTCAGTCATACTTCATAATTAGTGAAACCTGTTTGTGTTTTAAATATAGTAAATATTAAGGCAAACAAACTTATATATAAAATAATAAATAGATTATTGATATAAATTAATAATATATATTACCTCAAGATATACATATATGTTTATGAAATACTACATTTTAATATTAGAACATATTTGATATGCATCTTTTAGAGTTCTTCCATCATGCTCACATTTTATCTGTTCCTCTTTTTTCTCATAGTCCACCATACTTATTTCCACACATATATTCATCTGATTTCTCTGTCACTTTCGTTTCCCATTGGTAACTGAACTTCTCATGCCTCTCCTCTAATAATTTCCTTTTCTTGTCTCCTTTCCCGGCCTGTTGGCCACTGCAATATTTTACACAAAGACAACAGGAAACATAGATTATGTATGAAAGGCTAGGACCAGAGAGAAGCTAAACTATAGGCACCTTGTAATGGTGTGGACACCCGATTCTCTTCACTTCCACCGTTTTGAAGTGTGTACAGAAATAATTCATTTGTAGAATGCAGACCTGTTTTAGCTAGACCCTTCACTTTCCAGCTTGGTTGAATGATATCAAATGTCCACTCCAAGGTCGCTTGCGGACCCAGATCTACCCAGGAAACCTAGGATAATTTTGCTGTAGCATTCTAGCCGTAAAGACAGCAGGGCTACTTGGATGAACTACCCAGATTAAGGGTGACCTTCGTGCAGAATAACTCCAAGTCAAGGTCTCTAATACAATTCTACAGTCAGCTAGGCAAAGGTTTCTTTCTGAGCAGTGGGCCAAAGCAGAAGTAATTTTGAGCCCTTGCACTTGATTCAATCCAGCACGGACGTGTCAGAGCCTTGAGTGCACCAACAGGCTCTGCAGCCTCTCTGCACTGTCTCCTAGGTGGGGTTTGCTGTCTGTGCTCAAGGACAGCTCTGACACAGTGCAGCTGCATAATCTTGGATCAGATTGCTATGAAAAGAGTAGTGTGAGAAAGAGCTGTGATAAACACCTTGTTGTGGAGGGAGTCTCTCCACCTTAGCTTACGAGCTGCACTCACTCAGATCCTTGCCTTCGGCTTTTGCTTGAGCTTTGCTTGCCTGTGCCTGGCCATGTACCTTCCTGATCTAACCCTGAACCACCTACTTGGCTTCCTAGCTTGACTTTGAAGTTGCGTGGTCACTTCATATTTGTCTGGCAATCACTGGACTGTTGGCTGACCCTCGTTATTGTCAACAGACCTGCTCTACTTGCCTTGCCTGACTACTGTGGGATTGTACTCCTCATCGGTGAGACCACTGCCCCCTCATGCCTGCCTCAACAGTACCTGGTGTCCCTCACAAGAGCAGTCCTCTCTTGCTGTCCCCTGACAGAAAGTCAGAGCAAACTTCATTACCGTTATACATCAGAGAGTGTGAGGAGTGTGAGCATTAGGAAGAACAAAGCTATGTTCACATTATCTTCACTTCAAATCTGCTGTGAGGATTTGTATACCAGAAAATTGGATGTAGCTCAATTCAACATCTGTGGTACTTCTTCCTTGCAGCCACAGTCAAACAACCTTTATTATTAACCACTCAGTAATGACGGAGAGTAGAGAAAGTGAAGAGGAGCTTACACTTCAGCTCTTCTTGCAGTTGTTAAAAGTTGAAATGGTTTTGCACAGAAGCCTCAGATAGAACT